AGAACAGTTTAAGTTCTTTCGATTTCTTTTTCATAATATTTTAATTCTAACTTTACTATTATAACATATTCATTTGAAAATTTTGTGTAATTTACCATTTCATAGAAATATTCAAATTACCTTTATTCCTATGAAATTTTTAAGTAAGTTATTTTAATATTAATACTTATAATGACAATAATTAAATCAATTTTATGTTAAAGTTTCGAAGCTTTTCTTTTGAGCATACTTGAATTTAATAATAATTTAGTTATAAATGAATTTTAAACTTAGGGTTTTTTATTTCATTTTAACATTAATTAAATTAGGAAAAATAACAATTAATTATTGAAGTTGAGTTTAATACTTGATTTTTTCTTCTCCCATTTTCTGCCTTAGCTTCCTCTTAAAAACCTTAAAGTCTTATAAAGCAAACATTTTGAAACAAAATTTCTAATGTAATGAATCAAATTTTTTTTCCTAAGTTTTAAAACTATTTCCTCTCCTTGCTGTTGAGCGTTCTCTTTCAATGAAAACATCACAGATGCTTGCTTGAGCAGCTTAAGTTCACAAAAATGCCAAACCCCTAAATTGTGAGCTTACAAAACTTGTTCGAGCTCTCTTGGATGTGGAAAATAAACCGCACAAGCCCTTCTCTTCTTCGGCTCTGTCAGTGCATATGAAAAGTTGCTTGTATGGAGAAAAAAGCCCGACTCTCCTCCCTTGCAGTCAGTCGAAAATGCATGAGGGTTTGTATGAACTACTCAGCTCCTCCTTTCTTCTCTTTTGCTCAGTTGGAAAACATACTCGATCTTCCTTCTTATCCCTCACACAAGAAACACACACATGAAGAAGGCTTGTTTTCTTTCCTTTCGGTCTCTCGGGCTTGTGTTTGGTCATGAAACAGTCGAGATGCTCAGGATCGTGTGTCTTTGCACGCAAAAGGATTCCATCGAGCCACTCGAGCTTCTGTCACGCTCGTTCGATCGTGAGAATGGAAGTAAACGATGCAACATGTGAGCCGCACTTTTTATTTCCTTCCTTACTTTCTTCTTCTTTTTTTGCGGCTTCTTTTTCTTTTTCTTTCTCTGTTTCTCACGCTCTCTGTTTGGCTTGCTCCCTTTGGTTTTTTCTTACTCTCTTTGTCTCTCTCCTGTGCACGGAATGGACGAGAGAATCATCTCTCATATAAATTATAAACCTTCCCATGAGCAGCGAGAGTGTGAGCGAGCTACACCTACCTCTCAGGTGTCTTAAACAGGTATTTTAATTTTTATTTTTATGTAATTATGTTTATAAAAAATTTAAAGGGTATTATTACATCGATCCACCTCCTTGCAAGTAAAACTTCACCTCGAGTCTCAACAAGACCCTAAAAAATCAGCTCAAACTTTCCAATAATATGTCAGTGGTAGTTACCCTCTATAACTCTAGAAAATGATGTTTGTAATTTAGGACCCCAGGGAATGCGTCCTTGTCGACCGTAGCATCCTTCACCGGCTTCTTGCGTTTTCATGGGTGAGACTCGACCCGCGCCATCCTAGCATGCTCTTTTTTGAAGTGAGCTTTTGAGACCCTCTTCCTACTATTTTTTTGCTTGTTTTGGCATTTGATTACTTACCTTCCTATCAAAGGTCTCCAATATCTGGGCAAATAATTTTAATGGCGTGATATTAGCAGCTTTTATCTAACATCCCAATGCTACTAAAAAAGTAAAATAATGCATAAATTTGTGGGGAAATTTTGAGAAGGAGCGCGTAAGCTAGGGAATTTATGGGGAGGAGCTCCCTTTAAAAAAAGTTTAGTTAGGAGCATAAACTCTCCCATGGGCGGCGTTTCATGCTTAAATGCTACTTTCATAAGGAACGTCCCCCTTAGGGGCATTTCTTTATAATATTAAATTTTGTAATCATATATGATATTATATATTAATATTAAAAATATTTTATATAATATTATTATTAAAATTAAATGATAAATTTTTACTATATTAATTATTCTTTAGATAATTTCAAATTAATTAAAAAATATATATGAACAAAATGAAAAAAGCTAACAATAAATTGTATTAAAAAATTATTTTACAATAAAAAATTATCATAAGACAATGTTTTCATATTACAATTATCTTTTCCGCCGATTTAGAATGGCATGAACCCGATGCATATCGAGAAGGCGGTCGTAACGGTCGTTCTCGCAACTGGTGGTATTGAAATTTTCTTTCAAGATCATCATCTTTAACAGCGTCTTTCATAGCTTGTTGAGGGCTTGGGTTGCATAATAACTCTACCTTCAATTTATACACCATCGGTACTCATGAACAAAAAAAATATCATTCTACCCCACTACCGTGACATCTTGTCCAGTTTTTTTGTAAGGTAACACAACCCGCAATGTGCCAATCTTTCTGTTGGTTTTCTGCAAATTGTTAGGTTGTTTCTTTTTAACTATCTTACTTTGGTTGCGCCTACGAGTGACCAAAGTTCATGGGCTCAGCTTTCCACATCAGGAGAGGTAGAAGAAGCAACATCCCGCACTTGTGTTTGTCGAGGTCCATCTGAACCGGGTATCTCATCAATCACAACCCCACATTATATACTCATGCTCCTTTGGTCATTCGGTCTGTGTAGAATTAAGGGTTTGTTTGGGGCAGTTGTAGATTCTCAGCTTTTCAGTTGCAGCTATGCTGCCACAGGAAACTGCTGCGGGGAAGCTGACTGCCTGTTTGTTGCAGCTGTGTGAAAACAGCTGTGAGATAGTTGTTTTTGAAAAAAATGATAATTTTGCCCCTATTTAGTAAAGATGTTTAAAACAGAACTATGACAACCACATATTTGATACTTCAGAAGCATAAATTCATTTCAAAACAGAACAAAAGTTTAGATACAAACTCCAACTAACAAATAAATTTAAGTCCGTTTATAACCTAACTATTTAAGCCAAATTAAATTTTGGTTCGGTCCTTTCAGTTTTATCAAAACTTCGATTGGTTCAATTTTCCAATTTCGGTTTCACGTTACAATTAGCTTCAACTCTTTGAAAACCAAACTTACCAGATGCTCAACCCCACCTCCAATACCAAAACACAACCAACACCTCATCCTGTCCAAGTTATAGAATATCTGTGATCTAGTTAAATTATTGGTGCCGGAAAAAAAAAATAGCAGGATCATAAAAATACTTGCAAGTCCAAACAATATCCTCCACAAAATAATACAAAGAACTAAACCGGCAGCTCCAAAAATAAACAAATAATTCCTCTTCCAGAAAGCCTCCACCTGTAAACCAATCACCTCTTGGTACCCAAAAACACCGATATGATGCTCGATAGAGGCCTGCTGATCGCCGATTTCCCAAAACCTTCAACAATTTTGACGGAATTAAAACTCTTAGCTGAAATTAGTCTGTAAATTAAACCCTTCTCTATAAAATCACTAAGCCTCGTCACTTTAGAAGAGAGATTAGGTAAATTGGGAGAGAACCCTGCGCTCATCTTCCGTGAAGTCGAAGGACCGCGAGAAAAATTCAACCGGTTGTCTTGGAGGAAACGAGATAGTACAACATTGATAGATGGAACCAAAACTTCTGCAAATCACAAAAATTTTGCTTTGAGGGTTTGGCCCTTTAAGAGAAGCTGTACAGTGCGAAGAGAGAGAGAGAGAGGGCGAGAGGGCGAGGGGTAGATCGGTGCAGAACAGCTGAAGGCCTCGATGCGGACCTGAAAAAAGGCACCAATGGAAAGAAAGCGGGGCAGCGGAGTCGAACCCGTGGCCGTCTTTTTACCTAAAATGCACTGCGCCGCCCCTATCCCGTCACCCCAAACAACGATCAATAGTGGCGCCTCGCCGCGCCGCTGCCCTTCCGCAGCCCCAAACACAACCTAAGAGAGCTGCAATTTGCTTGTTTGTTCGTGTTCGTTCCTGTCCCACTGATCTTGTTTGTTCTTCACTTGTTTATTTGCATCATGACTCAATCCGTTAGAATTGCCTCCATCTTCAGCTGCCTTACCACCCTCCTTTTCGATCTTCCCATAAGGATATAGAGGGGAAGTGTTCGGTTTGTACACATTTATGGGAGCTTCAGTTTTAAGAGAGTTGCAATTTGCTTCCTTTTGTCCATTAAAGCTCACACTGAAAGCATAAATGGGAAATTTCTCCATATTCAATTCTCTGAAGTAAGTTTCCTTGTATTCCTTTTACCCAAACCTCGAAAAGGAACTTTTTCGAAAATACAAATTCTACCATAAGAGCTTCTTCCGCAAGAGCTAGTATGAGCATCAAGCCAAAGTGGTTGCCCAATCATCGTGGCAATATAGGTGATTGTGGCAATATTCCAATACAACAGTGGGAACTGTGGTAACCGAATCAATACCTGTGATCAAACTCCATGAAGCGAGTCTTGAGAGAATCCCTTTGACCATCTATCCGTGCCAACAATCTGACCTGCTATGACCCATGTTGATCCCATCAAAACTTGATGCCTGGCTTCCACAATGTCAAAAATATAAAAGAAGCAATCTCCACTCACTGAAACCGATTGCGACCTTCCAAACAGTTGCATTCATCGGTTAAGTTTAGCCGCCAAGATCTAAAAGGAATCCTTTTGCCCAGCTGTCTTCCGACCGGTGTTTTTCCGAGCTTTTTCAAGTTGTCACTCAAAGCTTCATGATTTTTATTTTATTTTATTAAAAATCATTATATTCTCAAATAGAATTATAAGTAGCTTCATATGTCAGTCCATATGTTTATGAAGTGATAGAGGTGATAAATGGGCAAATTAGAATTTTTTAAAGCATATTTTCTTTATAAGGCAATTATTTTTTAAAACCTTAAGAGAGAGATCTTGACTTTGGTATTTTAGTCAAGTAGTTATAAAGCGATCAGAAGGTTTTTATTATTATTGCATGTATGTAATTCTGTGCTATTTAACCTCTAGGTATTAATCTTCAGTAATGTATACTGTGCTAAAAACTTGTGAATAATCCAATAATAACAAGTTTCCTTACTCTCCTTTTTGTGCAGGGACGGGATGTCTATGTTCTGGTTAGCGAAACAACTTTATTTATCCTGAAATGCTTTTTTTTTCTTCTGTTGATGTTCGGTCTCTTGCTAATTATTTTCTAGCATGTTAATTGAAATTCAGACTTCCAGATTGCTTGGTTTGGATTTTTACCATAATGAAAATCTGAGTTCACTCCTCTCCCATTGAGAACATATCTCGTTTTGGATGCTTTACTTTTTTAGGGATTTTATATTGTTTATTCTCGTTTTTATTTAGATTTTCTTCAAACTCTGAGACAGTTATCGAACATAAGTTTGAATTAAAAAAAAAAGAAAAAAAGTTTAAAACAGGCACTCTATGTTATGCATGTCCTTTAATATTTCAAGCAAAAGGAGAAAAATGAAATGCATAGCATTCCATCTCGTTTATGCTAGATTAGTGAAATGGACGCTAAATTGGACAGACATGATTATCCTTTTATCCCTCATTCTCATACCTGATAGTCTGATTATATCTTCACAAAATGACATTTACTTAATTTTGCATGTTTTTCATTTAGCTTTGTGCTGTACAAGAGAGTGTTGTATACTTGAACTTTTATAATTTTGTGATAATCAAATAAAGTCATTTTTGGAAAGATCACTGGGGTCAATATTTTGATTTGTGCTAAATAGAAAGGGCATGTTGATAGTAAATGACTATATTTGACTTTCTTCTTGACTGACCATGTGGCATTAATTGGTTGACTAGCTAGGTCCAATTATTGCTCAAATTGCTTCAATATTTATATATTATATATTAATTCATAATGTTTTTTAGTATCATCCTTTTCTAGCATAATTCATAACCAATTAATGAAATTAGTTTAACATGAGGCAATTATGAAAAATTGACAAATTAGAAGTAAATTTCACAAAAAATAGATGAATTTAACATATATAGGAGGAAGTATCCCTCTAAAAAATGTAAAATACCATGAACTCTTATTCATAGTGTCTTGCGTAAAGCCTGGTGAATATTGAATGGCAGAGATAATTTTTTTCTTATGCTTTCTTCATCTGGCTAACAAGATTTGAAGCATCCTATACAAAGTGTCAAAGCTCTAAGACTTCCATCAGAATCATAAAGTTGTTTAAAAGCTTGATCATTGATGTATCTAATAATTGGAAGATGTGGGGCCATCATATTAGGAGGATCAAGATCAATGTTTAGCTCACCACATCCCAGGGGCTTAAGAAGCAAGGACAGGCTTTGAAAGCTCTGATTCCATGATAAGATCTTGAGTGAATTCTAAGTTTTGTATGCAAATTGATCTAGAGTTGGAGTTGCTACCATCAATTTTTAAGATAGAATCGAATCCTTTGTAATCTCTTCTTACACTTGGTTTTTCAAATTTTTCAGTTTCGGATGATCCTTGAAGCATTTAGAGTGGTTGTGCCAAAAAATTTTACTAAAAGAACATCATGAACACATGTTTTCAAATCTATCTTCCATCAATAGTCATAAGATGAGTAACCAATGCACACTTCCATTCGGAGGAATGTTAACACTTTCAATCATAACTCTAATTATAAGCAGTTTAGAGAAACTAGTCGCAACGATATCCACTTGCAGAAATTTATTAAAAAATAGAACGATAAGTTTGTTTCGTTATCATCCTTGTAACCACTGTGAAGTTGATTTTAGGTTTCTTATTATGGTAAAAAACTTTGTTGTAGATTTCCTTTTTTAAATTTGACTTTTTTTGCCATATAAAGTTATACTTGTGTCATATGATAGTACAAATTAAAATCTAAAAAAAGTTAGACATCAAAGCATCCTTTGCCACTAAAAATCAATTATATGGAAGTGATGGGAGTTGAGCTTTGAAGCTAGCTTAATTGAAGTGAGTTTTAGTGGTAACTCGTTGCTTCTCTTCATTCATATTTGTTTTTTGATGGTTGCTTTTTGTGAACTTAATTCATGTGTTTTTTGAGGCCATAATAAGTTTTCTAGAAATTAGGCTAAATTAATATTTTAATATTTAATTGATTACGTCATTTTATAAGATAATTTCATCTATAAATTATTTATAGACATGTTATTAATTTGATTAATCAGACTATTCATATTCATATATTATTTAAATAATTAAATAAAATCAAATAGATAATTTATTTTTAATGTGACTAATTGATTTGCTATTTACTCATCATCTGATAAGATTAATTGATTATCCTAATCATTAGTTAATACCTTATTATCTTTATTTTACATAATAAATAATTAAAATAATTACTTATTTATCAATTATTTAATAAGGAGTTAAAATTTGTTATTTTCTAAACCATCATTTTTTAAATAAATTGCCTGGTTATTTCTTTATTACTAAAATTTTCTATTATTGAGTTAGTCCATTTTTTTATAATTATTAGAGAATGACTTATTTACGCACTAATTTTCATAATTAATTTGATTCATTAAATTAATTTAATATCCTTTTTAATATTTATTTCGTAAGTAATCAATACACATGCGCGCACACATGCACTCCCATACACACACACCCGTGCACGCACGCACACACGCACAAGTGCTAAATGTGCACACACACACATACATGTGTTACGTGTTAGACGCGCGCGCACACGTACATACACACAAGTGCTAGACGTGGAAATACAACCATTACGTTGTGTTTGGGACGGTGCGGTGCCAAAAGCGGTGGCTTCAAACAAAATTGCGTTTTGCATGTTTTTTCAAAATGATGTGGTGTGAAGCTTTATTTTGCAACTTGACCAGACTAAGTGTAGTGGCTACCAAAAAATTGTTGTCTGGCTTTTTAAAAATAAAATAAAATTGTACTAGCCTCCATAGTTTTTTGGACAATTTCTGCTGCAGTAGCTTCACAGTTGCTTCTTCAATCAACTGCAGTTGCCCCAAACAGACCATAAATCTAAAATACTTATAAGCAATTTATAAAAAGAATAACATGCCCTAATACTTTGAATAAAATAATGGCATAAATAATTAACACAAAGTAATTTGGTTGCTTTCTCGGTTTATCTAGCAAAAGAAGGATGTCTTCTAATGCTCCTATATAAATTCTCTTGATTCTTAAAGAATTTTATCTGACGTTGATGGAGGCAACTATGATTGACAGGGCAGGACTGACTGATATTTAGTTTGCATGTTTGTATAAGGAGCTACAGTTTTTTTTTTCACACACTCCCCCCCCCACCCCCAAAACACACACACTTACAATTATCACAAGCAGATTTGTTGGCTTTAATGAGAATGTTGCCTAGCATCATGCTCTCGTAATAACCCAACAAATTTGAAAATAGGTGACCAGAGAGTGACAATAAGATTACAATGTCAACATATCTTAGTACCTTAGCGCCAGTGATAATAAAGTGAAATAATACATTTCTTGATGTATTTACTGCAAAATTGACTAGTAATTATCATTGAAAGTTGAAAAATTTTCAAAGAGATTTCTTATGGTGGCGTAACACTCGATGGTAAATCAACAAAAAAAAAAACAAGAATAGATGCATAACTGTATATTAGGCTTCCACACTATATTAAACTTACGTATTGGATTAGAGTTGTGCTTTGGCAACTCACAATTTTAAGAACTCAGGTCATTCTCAGGTAATGGTTTGGCACAGATGGTCTTTAAAAGAGACGTACATTCCATTTAAAATAGAGGATCATAAAGGCGTGACACATATTATTGAAACTATTATTTGGTCATTTGAGAGCAAGAAAAGGAAATTCTACTAATTGACTTACTCTATTGGTTCATTTTAGATGATCCTTGCCTTGGTCGATGACGTCAACTTCTTGAGATTTTTTATGGTAGTTATCAATTAAGTACATTGATAGTATGCTAGATGAAACCTAGAATTAGATCAATTTAGTAGGGATAACTGTGATCAGAAGTGGTTTTAGGATAACGATCTTGTTAGCTTGGAGAGGATTATCCATAATCAGAATTAGCAAATACCTTGTTAGTCAACAAGAAACAACTTAATCATGAAATTTTTTATAATGGTATGGGCATCATGGGTTTCATGAGAAGGGGTTGATTGGTTTGTCCATCTCGCTACTGGCCTGATTCGGGTTTCACACACTTAGAGTGGGTTTGGCCGGCTCTAGTGGGCTTACCATGCTCATATTTTGAAATAAACTTGAGGTTTTATGATGTTTGAGTATAGTTATTCTGTTTTGAAACTTTAGGAGGACTATTGATTAGATTTATGAATTTTGACTTATTTTCTACATTCTTCTCTTTGGGATTTTCTCTTGCAAGTGGTGTGGTTGTATCTTAAAGTGTACCTGGTGATTTCTTCTTTGACATTATTCTCTCTCCTTCTTTGTCGTCGGTCCCTTCTTACATCTCTACCGCCACCAACTGCTGCTATTCTTGCTGCCCAACCTCAGTTTTGTCTTTGAATCAGGTTATAACCATTTTCCTTCAATTCCCAAATAGCTTTAGATCTCTCCTTTACCAGCACAACATCTCTGAGAAATTCTTGGTTGATGTCATTTAGGGTGCGTTTGGGAGGTTGCTACTTTTTGAATAAGCTGCTGTAATGCTGCTTCTTGGAGAAGCAACTTTTCAGGTATTGTCAGAAAGTTGCTCATGAAGAAGCAAATGTCTGTTTGAAAGATCTACTGTGCTGCTGCTATTTCTATTGAGAAAGACTGTTTTGCCCTTATATATGTAATATATTGAAATAAGTGCAGTTTTCAGAATATTCAGAATTAAATAACAGAATGAGTTCGTACTGCTAAAAAGGTGACAGTCCGGTCCAAATTACTTTAATACATAAAAAAAGATTAATTATTTGAAGCAAAGAACTACAATAACGAGAGCAACAACAATAATTAGCAAGCCTAGAATGATGCTTGACTTGAAATCCTGATGATCAAGTGTTCGAGACAATCTCCTCTCCATCCCTGCATTTCTCCTCGACTGATCAACATTTTGCTGTCGTGATTTTCTTCTTTTTATAAGTAGGAGGGCATCTATTTCATAATGAAAGTTTGAATG